AAAAAGTCGCTAAATCATTCCACATATAAACAGAATTACTATAAATCCAATTACTATAAATGCATAAAGAATACTTTGCCTGGGAAACTGATGAGACATAACAGCTAATTTATTAAATGCTGAAAACTCACACATTTCTGAATGTGACAAAGTAAAATCTGTCCTTTGGTTGTGCAGTGATTATTTTCTAATGCTAACAGTGACTAATAAAACTGCAACATGAGCTTGGGAACATTCTATACTCAGTTACATACGGACTGTACCCAGGAAGAAACACTTAGTACAGTGGTAGTGGTAGATGTAGACGATGGGTGCCATGACAACCATGAAGGCAGGAACATTTGATACTGCAGTAAACATCATAGTCTTTGAACTAACAGTGATGGCAAGGGCAGTAGATGCTGCAGACAAAACTCAAAAATAGACTACAAGGTAAGTGTGCAGGCCTCTGAGACTGCACAGCACTAAAGGGAGTGAACCCATACCCTGACCTGCTCCATCAGAGAGGAAGCAAAGTCCTAGATGGAGGGCTGCTAGACTCCAGCAGCCTGCTTTAAGTCATTGTGTTATGTGTTTTAGGTTGGGTTTAACCTGGAAACAGACTGGAGAATATTTTAGGGAGGAAACGTCTGTGAGAGAGTAAAGGAAGGACCACTGAGCAAGGACCAAGTCAATGAGACAGAGGCAACAATTGATCAGTTGGGTACCCAGGACATCTCTATTCTGTTCCCCAGAATTACTCAAAATTGAGGCTTTGCAGCTACAGAGATGACGAGCAAGAGCTGGGCAAGTGTTGCTGAAGGAAGAATGCCACTGCTGTGCTCAGCAACCTTTCAGGGTTTGCCCAGGCTGGTTGGTTGGTTGTTTTTTTGATAAATAAAGGCAGAAAAGAGATGGCATACACTTAATTCTTTATGGTAACTAAAGATAAAAACTCGTGGGAATTTTCACTAAGTACCCATCTTAGAGCAGTTGATCAGTTTTTATTTCTTCTGAATTCTGTTAATGTGTGTGGTGAGGGTGAGTTCAGGATCTAAAATGGTCAGAAGAGGGTGTCAGACTCCCTGGAGCTAGAGTTACAGGGGAGTGGCTGCAAGTGGGTGCTAGAAACTGAACTCAAGTCCTCTGGAAGAACAAACAAGAGTCCTTAACCACTGAGCCATTCTTACAGCCTTCAGTTTTGTGTTTTGGAAAATGAATTAGCCATTCTCTTCTCCATCCGAGGAAAGTAAGTCCAGGCATCCAGGAACTTCATCTCACTCGTACAGCTGTTATTCCAACTTTAAAGGTCATTAGTCCAACATTTCCCATCATTTGAGACAACCATGTTTTCTTTTTAAAATACCTTTGCATGTGTATAGTGTGATTATACATATATGCATGTTCACTAGGCATGTTCATATGCCACAGCACATGTGTGGAAGTCAGAGGACATCCATGAGTGTTAGTTGTCACCTTCTACACAGACACAGTCCTTTGTTCAGTTCTACATACACCAAGCTAGCTGGCCCAGAGTCTTCAGCAATTCTTTCTCTGCCTCACATCTCTCTATAGGAACACTGGGGTTATATACATTTATTACCATGTCCGGCTCTACCAGGGTTCTGGTGATCCAGTTCAATCTCCATGCTGGCAACACAAGGTCTTTTACTGAGATATCTCCCCAGTCTTGACAACCAAGTCACACATCTTTAAAATAATAGAACCAAATCTTCACTACCTTATTTTTCCTTTGTGCTTAGTTTTCAAGCCCAGGTCAAATGAAGTACCAATGAGAAAAAGATAAAAGCCCCAACCTTACCATTAAAACACAACAAATGTTCAGAGACTTGTCATCAACAGAATTTCATAAAATTATCTGATAATAGCAAGTGACTTTGATTGAAATGCAAAAACCACCCAGCAATCACATTCCATCACCCCCTCCCCTTACTGATTCCGCTGTTGCTGTTAAGTCTAGACAGTATCAGTGCACTGGTAGATCATAAAGTAGCTTTGAGGCTCTTCTTTTTGTTCATAATTTACTCCTACGCTTTTTGAGAAAAAAATTTAATTTCAAAGCTGTTCTTGATTGCAGTAAATTCCACTCCATACTTGTTTCTCTAAGATTGCTTGTCTAAAGATTCAAAAGCCTCATGTTCCACGCAAAGAATTTCCAATGCAAATATTCTTCATCTTTGTGCACTCAAAATCAAGACAAGTAAGATGAAGAAATACCCAACAGTACACCCCCATCCCCAATTCTGGCTGCCTTCTTTAGAAAGACTACTACCTACTTCTCCTAACTTGCTACTTTAGTAAGGCCATGCTTTCCCAACAGTATCTGTCAGCCGGCCTCTCATACTCTCTCCACCTCCTTTTCTACCTACCTCTCCTTCAGTTCAGTATTCCTGAAATACTTACCTGAATCACACACTTAAAGAGAAACTTAATGCAGTTTAGCATTGATGGTTCAGGACCATGGACAGTGTCCGGGTCCTGTCTTGTAATACGGTAATAGTCTTGTAACTGAAAATTTGGTATATTATTAAACCCATTCGTTGTGGTGGGTAAAAGTCTAGTCACAATAGTAAAACTCTGGACTGTGTTGTTTCTCTTCATGGATGGGAAAACATTAACACTACAAAGGACAAATGGCACACAGCAGCTGTCCAGTGACAGTGACTTGTTCAGTTTACTGAACATATCTTTTAAGTGACTGTCCCCAGGAAACAACTAGAAAGCAAATTTGTGTGTCTTACAACTGCGCATCTACAGTGTCAATGCAATTACCAAAGACTGGATCAAGGATGAGAAGTGGCTGTGATTCAGAATGCAAAATTAGATCTAGATATAAAATAAATAAGCACAAGCCACTTTTCTTTGATGAGTGTGTTTTAATAATCAAAACAACCTCTTTGGCCATCTTCTGATACTAACGAATTGACAAAGGGGTCACATGCACTTTCACCTGAGCAGAAGCAGCCTGACAACTTACTATCATCTTGGCAATATGTGTCGCCTGCTAAGCGGTGGCTAAGCAGCAAACAAGCTAAGGCCACCCACTTTTATACACACTGCATGTGCCACTGCTTCTGAGAAGCTACACCTCCAGTTGACAGCTTCTTCCATTACTCCATGTAAACATGTGACCATCTTGACATGTACCCCTGGCTTGCTTTACTACCTGACACAAAACATTACAAAATAGAAGCACTTCGGGTGATGTCAGGTAGCTCACCTGCCTTCCATTTGCAGCTTGTAGCCCCAACAATGGGTATTGTAACACAGTAACAACTCATAGGCATCTTTCTTCGGGAAACTTCTGTAAACTCATCTTTAGTTGCTTAATACAGTTTGTGAAGTAAAATGAACGCTTCAATGAGATGACATTGACCACCCCCCCTAGTTTGACCTCAACTGGACAATATTCAAATAACCTGTTATATTTTGCCTCAGATCACCCCACTTCCTCAATTTGTCCCTGAGGAGTCTTACTGGCAGACAGCATGAAAGGATGAGGACTCAGGACCCTTATTCACAAATGTGGGTGGAAATAGAAAACTGATTTGAACTCTTAAGAGAATCCTCATTTTTCCCATAACTCACACATTCCATACCCAGCGTTCCTCTGTGCCACAAGGTCCCAGTATGATGACATGTATTTCTTATCCTACTAATATTTCTATATCACTTGGCACAAACAGAAAAAAACAAACAAGCTTTCCCACATGCAAGTGGTCAGATACTGCTTCCAATGTCATTGGTCAGGCTGCTACACAAGTGGAATTATAGGCTTATTCCCAAAATACGAATAAATCTGTGACTTACATTCACGTGACAAATCTTGAAGTGCCATTAGAACTAGCCAGGTTGTCTTTGTTATCACTTGCTTTTCACTACAGTCTAGAATAACCATGGCAGAAACCCACTTCAGTATCAAAACATCTAACAATCTTGAAAATCATCAGAAAGGAGAGATTCCTTGGCACATCAAGGTCAAAAACCTGACCTAGGCAAGTATTCCTTGTTTTTTTGTAATCTTAATTGAACAGCTTCTTCCTGGTTCTTATATTATCTACTGGTCAGCTTCCAAGGCTCTTTTAAGGAAAAGAAATGCTCACATAACACGAACTTTTGGCTCTCTCTACATAGAAATGATGAAAGCTATTGCTGCCATCAGGCACCAAGGCCAATCAAAAGACCCTCAAATAGTATTAAATTTCATAATGATAGTTTAATCTTAAATAGTTTGATTTTAGTCATAAGTCTCACTCCAAAAATATCTGTGAGATTGATATTGCATTTGTGGGTATATGGCACATATTTTTGACTGGAGGTAGCTACCTGGAATAGCATAAGTGATTTCCACCAGGGTCAAATCAACCTTCTAAAACTGTAGTGAATGGATAGTATTCACGAAGCCTGGCTCTCTTACCTGATGCCCCAACCAACCATTCAATTCAACACAAAGATGGCATCCCATACACATGTATCTGGATTTATTTCTCTTCTAAGTAATGAACAATCTCAATAGGCCCTTTGCACTGGTTAATTGGCAGGGAAAACACCAACAGGGCAGTGTTCATCAGAAATGTGGGTTAGAATACCTCTAGAACTACTATAATGAGACTGAACTATTTTCAAGTCAGACTGGGACCCAGATTGTGGATCTAACCTGAGAAGGGCTCAGGGTGCATACCTCAAAATCCTTAAACACTGCCACCGTTGTAATAAAGTCTATTTTATTCCTCTCTACATAATATTTGAGCTCTTAATTTTGTTAAGACTCAAAATTGTGCCCAAAGTCCAGGTTATTTTTCTATTCACTGGAGTCTTCTTGTAAGACACTTGCAACCCAAACTAACTGTTGACTCCGACACAGAAATCCTGAATACTCCAATTTCTCTTTTGTAAACCCACACACAACAGTAGCATCCCATGTGTTCAAGTGAAGAGCTCTCTCCAATACTAAATGATTTTAAATATTTAGACTGTTCATCAATAAGAGGAAGCAAACATTTTATATTTGAAATTTTATGGGCAGTTTATTAAGTTCAATGTTGAAAGCTATCAGAAGAATATTCTCCTGAAAAATATGTTTTTTCTTAGAAAAAAACGAAAGGAAGATCCACACCCCTCTCAGTATAGCCACAGATGCTGTGGCGGTCACGCCTCTCTGGAATCAGGGACAGTCTGTCAGTCCGAGTCGCTCCCTGCAGCAACAGGATTGTAGTCGGGATCATCATCACCATCCTCCAGCTCCAAGTCATCCATTTCCTGGAACAAGGACTCATCCACCTCCACGTTGTTCCCAGCTGTGAAGAGCAAGACAGCCTCACCTTATACTCCAGACACACACGCACCGTGGACTCCCAGGAAAATACACCCACCATGGACTCCCAGGCTACCAGTGTAAATCCTTCCAAACTAAGTTATCAGCAGAGACTTTGACAACAGAAGAGCAACTCCAGTCTTCATGGTCATAGTCTAAAGACTTGCTATTTTAAGAAAAGGCTCACAGAATACTTAATGACAATGCAGCATGTTACAGTTGGAAACAATGACTCACTGTCTCTACATGGTGGACCATCACTAAGACCAGCCCCACAGATCATCTATCTCATCTAGTGATGGCAGACATACATATCATTCAGGCTCAGCTGCACTTCTTAACTTTCTGTTAAATACAACTTGCCTCATATACTTGCCTACTTCCCTTTCTACACAACAGATGGCAAAGGCTCTCATGTCTACGTCTACGTCTAAGCACTGGCCAGGCTCTGCCTCAGCACCATACCCTGAGACGGCCTGAGTCAGATATAGTAGAGTAACACAGCACTCCCCAGTTTGTGCAAATGGTATCTTCCTTCCCTCTGGGAGTCTTGCTTACTCACATTCGATCCAATACGAATATAAAGAGAGCCTTGAACAGTTCAGAACTAAAACTAGACTATACCAAGTCCAGGTCAAAGAACAACTGACTTGGGGGAGTGAAAGCTTCTCAAATATTGTCGGGGTACACCTGAATCCACCAAGAATGTAAGGGTCAGTGTGAAGCAGTTCTAGAAGTACAGAAAAGGCAGAAGGAAAAAGTAAGATCTTGACACTACTACTTAGAAGACAAGATTCTTGCGGGAAAAAACCTGAAGTAGTACAGGCAAGGCCAGACTGAGAGACACTGGGTTTTTTTCCCCCTATCAAAGAATTTTAAAGTTTTATGGTTAAATATAAGTTTCACCGTCACAGAGCAGAGCAGGAAATACGGACCGTGTAAGGCCCTGAGAAGGAAAAAGAGATTCCGAGGCTGGAGAGACAGCAAGAGCACTGACTGCTCTTCCAGAGGGCTCAGATTCAACCCAAGCACCCACATGTTGGCTCACAACCATCTCCAGTTTCAGGCAATGTGGTGCCCTCTTCTGGCCTCCATGGCAACTAAGCACACATGCAGTAAAACACACAAACAGTCACATACGCATACACAAAAAAATAAACAATCCTTTAAAAGAAAAGGAGAAAGAGATTCAGAGAAGTGATTTAGGTGGTTACAATAAAAGTTCAGGCAAAAATAATAAAGCCATTAAATAAGAAAAGGAGGATGGGAGACATTTCCAAGGTAGACTCAACAGGTCTCTTTGGGAAACCTAGAGATGAAGAGAAATCCTTACCTAAGAGAAGAAAGTAGTCAAGAATAACTGAAGACAAGCATGTCTTCATCCCAGCACTTGAAATCCCAGCACTTGAAAGGTAGAAGAGGCAGGAGGATCTGTCTAAGTTCAAGGCCAGACTAGTCTATGTAGTAAGTTCCAAGCCAGCCACTGCTATACAGTGAGACACTATGGAAGGAGGGAGGGAGGGAGGAAGGAAAGGAGGAACAGAGGAAGGGAAGGAGAAAGAGAGGATGGGAGGGGAAGAAAGGGAAAAGTAAAGATAATAAAGTTGCTATAGCACAACAGAATGAGATGAAGCTTTGGAGAGCTGGAAATCCTCAGGATTCCAAAAGAATATCCTACTGAATTTCTGACTTTTTTTTTTGTTGTTGTCTGTGAGAGTCTCACTCTGTAGCCTAGACAGGTCAGTAACTCACAGTGCAGAACAACAGTATGGCCTCAAACTTGGGCAATTTTGTTCAGTCTCCAAGTACACAGATTACAGTTGGTAAGCCACCATGCCCAGCTTTGGGTTTTGTTTTTAAGATCACAAAAATAAAAATCTTGACCTATCTGCTAGAGAAGATTTGAGAAAAACAAATATTGAAGGCTGGCAGTGTAGCTCAATGACAGTATTTACTTGCATACACAAGGCCTGGGGTTCAGTTCTTAACACCACAAAGAAAGGAACAGGGTGAGTGCCAGTAAGTGTCCAAGAGGTCAGGAAGACTGGCTTAGCAGTGAGCCACATCAACAGTGCCCAAGCTTCTCCAGCACACAATCCAGGGCATGTTTGAAAGGCCAAACCTAGAGAACTCCAAATGACAGGAGACATAAGAGAAAGTTCAAGAGACCTACAATCCTAAAAAGGTGCTACTCCTGTAAACAAGTGGGACCGAGCATAGAGGACAGTCTAAAAACACAAGCAAGCCATCAGCTGTGCGAGGCCAGGCAATGGTCCAGTTACTCTTTGCCGTGAGCATGGTGACAAGAAGGACAGTACGATAAGCATCTCAGGATGGGTAGCCGGTAGACGCAGAGAGAAGGAGGTAGGGAGAGAAGCAAGTGAAGAGAGCACATGGACAAGATGCCCAACAGCTACACAAGCAGGAGGAAGGGCCCTGCCAGCAGAGGAGGCCAGGATTCCACAGCTGAGGCTTTTCCACACCGGGAGCAGATCATGGATTTGCTAATCCGAAGTCTAATACAGACTTTTGAGGGAAACGTCCCCTGAACTACGCTGCCTAGTTTTCCAGTTGACAGAGGCTCATGTACTATGAGAATGTCACCCTGAGAAAACTTAAAAAACACACATTGATAGACAATTGAAACATTTAGAGAGAGTGTATAAATTGATCATCTATTAGAACTTATCTTCAGAATGTGATTTTTCACAGGTTTGGCAAGATAATTTCACACTAAATAAAAATATAATTTGCTTTTCATGAAATAAAAAGATGGCGCATTATACCCACAAGGAGTCTAACAGCATCTTACCGTCCTCCAGGAACTGGATGTCAGATGTGTCAAGATTATGATCTGTTTCAAATAACTGTTTCCCTAAAAGAAATAAATATGCTTAATTCAAAAGGGATAGCATTCCTTCATTCCCTACAACCACTTAAAAGGGCACAAGCTCAACAAAACAAATCTGGACATCTGTGTTTCTGGGAATTTCAATAAATTTATGGATTGTACAGTAGCTTAGAAGTTAAGACCTGTATTCACACTGAAACAGAAAAAATGAAAAACCAAAGCTCCTCAAGCCTGGAAAACTATGGGTTTGATTCTCTCACTCTGAAGGCTTTTGATCCTCAATATTCTTATTCCAGGATCCAGAATACAAATCAAGATTCATCAATTATCAAACAAAGATATACAACAAACAGTAGCTATGAATTGTGTGTGACGAGACACGTGTTTGTCATGGCAACCTGTCCTGGTCATCTTTGCTGTCAGGGGACGGCACGACTGCGGGGTGGCAGAAGTCACTATGCCAGAGAGGCACATACCACTTAGTTTATTTTTTCCTGCTTGTTCTTCTTCTTTCATCCGTTTCTTTTTAATTTCCAGGAGTTCTGCATCAAACTTGGCTTTCCAACTCAAGAAATTCTCAATCGTAACAGGAGTGCCATGGAACAGTTTCTTCGGAAACAAAAGACACAAGCATCAAGCCAATGAGGCAGTCATTTAACAAACAAAGTCAAATGACTCTGTCTTCCAGATGCACAACCACTGAGGTGAAGAACACTAATGACTCCACCTGCACTAGCTCTCTTTAGTTTCAGCAGCTTACTCTGCAAAAGGCAATTATTATTCTTCTAAGTATTAAAAAAAATTAAGATAATATACAATGTACTTACTGTACATATCATAGCTACGTACTATTAAGCAAAGTTCTTGGTTTTACTACATTTTGGATAACCATCAATTTATAACACTGCCGTCACTTTTTTACTTTACTCAGAGCTTGGTGCTGGTCTCTGTGTAATTAGGAACTTAGGACATTCTGATTTACAATAAAAGAATGATTTACAATTCTTGGTCTTACGTGAGTGAGCCTTATCAATCTGTCACTTGTTACTCACAATATGTCATCAACCACTCCTAGTAAAATTTACTTTTTAGTTTCACCATTGTGACTTCCAAAAAGCCAGTTACTAAAATAATCAGAAAAAAGAAAAGCTAAATATCAAACAAGCCAACAAAGAGATGTAAAGGAAATGAGAAGATTTTCAAGAATACCTTCTCTGCTTCTTCTGCTTCCTTTTCTTTCTGTTTCTTTTCTTCCTCTCTTCTGGTTTTTATCTGATCAACTATCTCATTTAACTTTTCCTGAACGGCTGTCACAAGAGTGAAGATCATCACCATGCCGAGATTCTCCTCGGCCTGTATAAAACAGAGAGGTGGCAACAAACTCACTTCTCAGGAAAGTAAAAGCTATCCAAAGCACCAATGTTTAGTATAATAACTAGACCCCACGTTTAGAAGATGATCCCTCATTCAGTTACACCACATAGTTGGGTAAGTGAACATTTAAAACTGGAGTACAGAGTCAGAAGTAGTAGCTTGTAAAACCCAGCATTTATGAGATGGAAAGAGAAGGATCAGAAATGTTTGGCTACATAGGGAGTTCAAGGCCACCCTGGACTATATGTGCCCTAGTCTTTAATGACTAGGCCATGGACATAGGAAACAAGGAGGTATTGTTCTAAAATCTGACAATACAGACTTTCAAACAAACTAGTAGGAAGGATAAAGAAGGGTCATTTCTTAATGATTAAGAGAATTTCAAAAGGACATTATGATTCTAAGCATATATGTCCAGAACATGGGCAAGTGCACGTAATTTTATAAAATGAATACTATTAGATGTAACATCAAAGACTATGTAACATCCAGCACAAAAGAGTGGATGACTCCAGTACCCCAAAGAGTTGTGAGCTGCCATGTAGGTGCTGAGAACCAAACCCACGTCCCATACAAGAGCAGTTAAGTACTCTGAAGTGCTGAGCCCGCCTTGCCAGGCCCCTTAGCTCTTTCTGTTGGTTAGTTGGCTAAGTGTCCATCCTGTTTATCTTTTCAAAGATCCAATTCTAGTTTTGTTGATTCTTTGCATTTTTTTGTTTCCATTTCATTCATTTTGGTCCTACATGTAACAATTTGTTTCAGTCTACCAATTTGGGATTTGGATTCTTCCATTTCTATAGCTTTGAGGTATCTTTAACTTATCTGAGAGCTTGCTTATTTCTTAATGTAGTTATCTACATTAACATAAACGTCCTTCTTAGGACTGTTTTCACTGTATTCCATAGGATCTGGTATGCTGTGTTTTCGTTTTCATTTGTTTCCAGGAATGTTTTATTCCACTCTTGACTATCATTGCACTGTGAGTGAACTGTTTAATCTCTATGCATTTGTGTGTGCTCTAGAGTTTCTCTTGCTTGAATTATTTCAGTTTTCCTGTATATTTTGAAACTTAAACTATATGCTAATATATGATCTGTTTTAGATTAATTTCTTCAGTGTTTGGATGGAATGTTATATCTATGGTATCATTTAATTTAGGTATTTCTCTGTAACTACAGTTCCAGGGGGCCCAATGCCCTCAGCTGGTCTTCATAGGCACCAAGTATACACACAGAGCACACGTATACATACATACAGTGTAGCACTGTAAACCTGGTCACAGACACTAACGGAGAACCTACTATTACTGTTTTGCTAAAGGTTGTATCGTTCAACAGTCTTCTAAGTATTTATGTTTGTCCTTATAGATTAATGCTGTTTCCAATGTTGGAGAGAATCGTTAACTGCCCAAAGTGCTGAAAATAGTGACTGTTGACTCCTCATTCCGAAATGGCACACGTATATCAGTCCATTCTATCCCCCAAAGTTCAGAGAACATCATGGCAGAAAGTGTGGAAAACTAAGAGCCAGAAGCTAGGAAGGTGTTCTGAGTCTTCCGGACATGATACAGCCATTCTGGAAACATACACAAGGCTTGCACTGGGTCAAACCTGGCAAAATTCCAACACTGAAGGTAGAGGACACCAGGCCCCACCTTTAGCTGAGGAGCCATGGGCAGCTGACAGCTTCTATGGGAAGGAATCATTTTCCTTTGGGTATAGCTGATGGGGGTTGCCCATGCTCCAGAGAATGGTCTCTAGCCAAGCAAATATTGATTATTTAAAGGAAGGGCTGGAGAAACGGCTCACTGAGGCTAAAAGCACAAACTGCTCTTTCAGATGAGAATACAGTTCCCAGCCCTGGCACCAGACAGTCACAACTGCCTGTAACTCAGGGCATCAAACACCTCTGAGGGCACCTGCACTCCACCCACGCACAAACTCACCTAGAGACACACATATACACACAGAATTAAAAATAAACCTTAGAAACAACAAAAAAGGAAGAACAGCATATGAGGATGGATGGGAAGAGTTTTGCTGAGGGAAGGTCTGGGGGTAACATTATATACATACATGAAATCTCCTGTCTTTTTTAAAGATATCTTGTGGTGGTATATCATGAATTCTGATTGGTTAATGTACTATTTACATATATTTGAAAACATTTTCTAGCCAACATTTAATATAAAGGTCAATAAAATATGCTACTATAAATCAAAATTATTTCCTTACCTGCAATGCCAGTAATTTTAAAATGTCTGAGACATCATTATCTTCTAGATTTTCCTGGGAGAATATTTCATAAAGGGGAGCTTCATCGGGGTATTTTTCACTATAAGTAAACTTGAGAGTAGTCTGGACAGCTAAGGCACAAGATAAAAGTTTAATGGAAACACATTAAAAGTATAAAAAAATCAGTGTTTCTATTGAGTCAATAATTTATAACATTAATAAAAAGTAGAGCAACAGAATTACTAACTTAAACAACAACCTCAAAGAGATGAGTCAAACAAGGGAAAGGCAGAAATCTCTTTCTGCCTGCAATACACAATTACCACCTAGTGGCATTTTAGGATACTGTATTTCAGAGGACAGACAATATCTATTTAAAAAAAAAATCTTGGCAAACAAAAACTTAACTAAAAATATTAGCTTTTATTTATTTACTTATTCTTTTGTTTGTTTGTTTGTTTGTTTTTCAAAACAGGATTTCTCTGTGTAGCCTTGGCTAGAGACCAGGCTGACCTCTAACTACTGTCAGAGATTCTCACATTCTCACATTCAGCCTTTACTAAAAGTTCCTGATGGCAGAGGACTTAGATGTAGGCTGATTCATATTCCAATTGCACAATAATAGGATGCTGCTAACTGAGTAGCTAGATGAGACATTTTTACACTGGGCAGTTTGAAAGGTTAGCTGGGAATTTTTGATCTAGACTCTTCTACACTAATATTCTTAACTTTGTGGATTGTGCCAAGTTACAAACTTGCCATTTAAGAGTGCAAGTCTTTATTTTGTTTGTTTTTCGAGTCAGAGTTTCCTTGCAAAACAGTCCTGGCTGTCCTGGAACTTGCTCTGTAGACCTGGCTGGCCTCGAATTCACAGAGATCTGCCTGCCTGTGCCTCCTGAGTGCTGGGATTAAAGGCGTGCGCCACCACCACCTGGCTAAGAGTGCAATTCTTATGAGTACACTAGTGCAAGATAAACGCTGCAGCCCGGCACATGGGTGCGCTGGTCACAGACAGCTTGAAGGCAGTCAAAAAAGCTAACCCTCTGTAATTTTAGCTATGGTCTTTCATTTAGAGTTTATCATTCCTGTTATTCACTGTTTTATTATTAAAACCTAGTGATTAAAAATAGATTCATTTGCTTTGTATGAAGAGGTGTCCCACAAAGCACATGTGGAGATCAGAGAACTTACAGATGTTGATTCTCCCACCATGTCGGTTCTGGGAATCAAACTGAGGTTGCCAGACTTAGCAGTAAGTGCCCTTTCTCTCTGATCAGCCCCACAACCCACTGCTTATGATGAAGTAATTCAAATCTATGTTGCTCTCAATTAGAAGGCTAAAGCCTACAATACTGATTTTGCTTTAATCTTCATGTTAAATATCAATATATATTATATGGGTCTCTTGTACAACTCTACAAGCTGAGCACTAAGGAGGCTGACCAATGCCAATCACAAATTTCAGAACAGCTGCTGCGCTACAGAGAGAGACCCTACATCAAAAGAATTTTTTTAATTTTGATCAAATTAGATAAGTTTTTAAAAGCACAAACAAATCTTAGTTGGGAACACAGGCTCCTCAGTGGCAAAATGCTTGCCTGCATGTTCATGGCCTTCATTCAATCCCAGTACTGTAAATAAAAAGCATTTGAGAGGCAGGCAAAATGGACTGAGTGTGCAAGGCCAGCATGGGTTATACAGGGAGATCCTGTCTGGGACCTAGATGCAAGGTCTTGTATGTACCAAGTAATACCACTGTATTACAGACCTCAGCCCAATAACAATGTACTGAAAAACAGTAACTGCTAAGAGATTAAAATCACAAAAAGCAAATTCAACACATAAAATTCACCACAGTCAAGTGTGGGAAGTCCTTCTGTATATGTGTTGCTTTTATTGGTTAATGGATAATGCTGCTTTCAGTCAATGGCTCAACAAAAGAAAGCCAGATGGGAAATCCAAACAGAGATGTACAGGGAGAGTAGGCAGAGTCAGTGAGACACCATGTAGCCACCCCAGGAGACTATGTGCCAGAACCTTACCAGCAAACCATGATCCTTGTCGTAAAATATAAAATAATAGAAATGGATTAACTTAAGATAAAAGAGCTATAGAAATATGCTTAAGTTATTCGCCAACAGTATTGCAAATAATATAGTTTCTGAGTGATTTTTTCAGGTCTGGGCAGTCGGGAACAAAGGAGAGGCCTCCATCAACAACAGTCAGCATATGAGCATCTACTTCTACTCTCTGGAGTTCTAGAATTTATTCTTTCCATGAGCATTACCCCAAGATTTTTCTTAAAGACACAGTGCAAACAAGTGCAATAAATTTTATCGTGCAGATACACTAAAATGCACTTAACTTACTTTAAGTAGTTAAATTTTTTGTTTGTTTTTGATGAGGTATTTTTGTTGATTAGGTAGACATATGCTTATTATATTTTCACTGACCATGAATTCAAAATCACCTTTCCTCAGTCTCCTAAATGATGGAACTATAAGCATGTATGATTACTATACCTACTAAAAAGCATAAGCTTTAAAACAAAAACAAAAAAAACCTTACTGCTTCTAATATAAGCAATACCAAGTATCCATTATAGAAAAGTATGATAGCCATGATTCTATGCATACCATTGAATCATTTCACTACAAGCAAACTTAATAAATCAGAACTCAATAGCAACTATTTGCCAACTATCTACAACTATCTACCAATCCAAAGTCAGAATAAAAGGCTGGAGAGATAGAGCATGGTAAAGCACTTGCCACACAAGTGAGAGGACTAAATTCAAATGCCTGGAATCCACATAAAAGCAGAGTGAAATACAACACACATGGAATTTCAATGACAAGATGGCCGGCAGACACAGGACAATCTCCCAAAGTTCACAGGCCAGGTAAAGCAAAGACTAACACCCAATATTGTCCTCTGACCTCCACATATTGCAAACATACAACCACACATGAGTGTACGTGCACACACATACCCCAGGGTCGGAGAGATGACTCAGCAGTTACCAGCACTGGCTGCTCCTCCAGAGGACCTAGGTTCAGTTCTCAGCACCCACATGGTGGCTCACAACCAACCATCACTCTAGTTCTAGGAAATATGATCCATTCTTCTAGCCTCTACAGGAAGCAAGCATGTACACTTACATACAAGAATATAAACACTTATACACATATAACAACAATAAATACTAAAAAATAAAAACCATAAAAAGGGAATTAAGATTGAAGACAAAATGTATAAAGACATAAGTACAATCTCGAACCTAACAAGTACAACATCACAATTCCTTAAATATTAAAATAAGCAAACTTCACTAAGTAAGTCATCACTTACTGGTTAATCTAGAACTATGATTATTGTAACATCCTATGGATCCGTTATTTTCCTTCTAATAATCTCCCATAAGTAGAAATGGACAAAGAGTTATTTTCTTACAGCCCCCATTTCACAATTTAACAAGGGGAAATGTCTACATATCCTGCTCCATGATCTAACACATGTAAATGCCTACATCCCCTGCTCCATGATCTAACACATGTAAATGTTTACATCCACTGCTCAGTGATCTAGCAGATCTCTTGTACTAATCTAAACAGCATATTTCTCTATTTACAAACACTGAAAAAGCCTACTGGATGAGATGAAACATCTTAAGGACTAGTGAGACTAATTTTTCAGTAAACATTTATAATGCCATGTCTAGAATCTATGTTTCAATTCCCTGTTTGCTCTTTTACTCTTTAAAATGAAGAATAGGCCCAGCAAGGCAGGCAGATCTGTGAGCTCGAGGCCAGCCTGGTCTACAAAGCAAGTAAGTTCCAGGACAGCCAGGGTTCTTACATAAGGAAACCCTATCTCAGAATCAATTTAAATAAATAAATAAAATGAAGCACAGGCACAAAAACAGCACGACCTAGGCACTGTTTCAAACAGTTAAAAACCACTTCTTAAATTAAAGATGAATTTACACAACTATTATTACAGGAGTGTTATTAGCTCCCAATGAAGGTACTGTTCAGAATACGGGAATGACCTCCAGAAACTTTAGTAAGAAAATGAAATTTCGGTCTCAATGAGCAGTACCATGCCATTCCACATGCATATACACTGGTTTCACATGGCCAAGTGATGGTGAACCGCTAGGGGGCGGAGGCTTAGAGCAGTATTTATTTGAAACTTCAATGAATGTACTAACATTGTAGAAAGTTATGTATCAAAGTACAGAAAAAGTAACTGTATCGATCTCAATGGAATGAAAGATGGCAAAATATCGTGATGTGAAATTCATTTTTGATTATTAAGAAACATACCAGTTTCAACCGATGCCACTAGAACTGACTGACTCCTCCCAACAGAACTCTGTCAACAACTGAGATAAACATTCTTGAGACTGTCGACTTAACCATAACTTTTAAAATTACTGTATTAACTGACTTAGACGAAAAATGGATAACCTTAATATTATCACTAAACTTAATTTATTTAGCTTACTAGTTTTAAAGTTGTTTTATTGTGGGGGGGGGCAATGATAAGTAGGTAGGTGTACATTCAGCCTCTTTAGAACAGCAAATGCTCAATAAATAATATACACTTCCAAAGAAAATAGCAGTATTTGAAAAGCAGAAGCCACTTGACAAACACTTTGAACACAAATCGTCTTCTCTTCATCTTTATTAACCTAAAGGCTTCACTTCTAAACACGCAGCAACAGCGCCTCAGCAGCTCTGCAGCTGCACTGCCTGCAGTGACTGTAGAAGGAGCAAAGTTCCTGCGGAGCCCAGAAAAGTCAGAGTAATTTCACCGTGCTTACTTTCATCGTTTTCTCCAGCCTCTGACGTCACAGTGATGGTGAAGCTGGGTGGGTTTTCTGATAATACTGCAAGAAAACACACAGAGCAGCTATTAGGATGCTTCCCGCAGCAGACACTTCCAGCAATTTATTGCTGCTCAGCACTAGAAATTCGTACCTCACCTGTATTTTCATTTCAACAAATACAGACTAACAGAACACTAACATGATAAACTCACTATCTCGGCCAGGAGTAATCTTAATCTGAAAAGAAGTACTTTTAGTTAAATAACTCTCTAATCAATTAAATACTAAGTCATTTATATTTTATTCCAAAATCTATCAGTATATAAAAAATGCATTCCAAAAAAAGTCCCAAACAGAATAATAAATAAAAACTTTGGAATTTTTTTCACCAACTACTACCCACAGATATTCATGTTATAATGGTTTACTATATTATCTTGTTATTTTCTACATGTTAAAATGAAGTCAAATCTAATCTTTCCAAAAGAATGAGTCTTTACCATCTTTCACAAAATTATAATAGAAGTTAGATAAGAATGTGAACATCGCTGGGTGGAGGTGGTGCACGCCTTTAATCCCTGCCCTCAGAAGGCAGAGGCAGGCCAATTTCTGAATTTGAGGCAAGTCTGGTCTATAAAGTGAGTTCCAGGACAGTCAAGGCTACATAGGGAAACTATGTCTCAAAAAAATAAATAAATAAATAAATAAAATAAAAAAAGAATCTAAACATCAAATTTCTTAAAACCTACTAAAGCCGGACAATGTAAGTCAACATTTACACAGATGAGAAGGTTTCAGAGACCACTTTAGAACATGTCCAATAGCATTTGTCGATCATCTACTCCCACGCAAGAGTATTATAAAATGCTATAAGGAACCCCAGATCTTGCTTGTTATGGAAAGTGAGCAAATACTGACTTAATGGACATAACAAAGGAAACATTAAAAACCAAGTGAGAAGTAAGCAGGAAACCGCTAACTGCAGGGGTGCTTACAGCACCTAAACTTCACCCACCCTGGGCCGCACTGGCTGGGCAAGGCTGCCAGCAGCTGTGTGAACTCTGGAGAGCACAGGTCACTCAGGAAGCCACCATGGAGACCGCACGGCTTTAAACTACCCAGGCACTGAAGCCACCACAGACACACATTATCAGTAATATTTTTAAGGCAGAGGCCCTCATTGTGACTCGGGTTTTAAACCACAATGATGAGCGTCTAGGAAAACTCAAAAGCAGTTTGCCCAAACGACGAAGCACTCTCCCTGGACTCAACTGTACATCACAGTCTCAGACAGCACACCCCTTCTTAAAAACAGGCACTGGAACATTCTTATAAGCTCCCAAAGAGGTTGTTGTTACTGATTTTAAATGTTTATTACAATGCATTAAATATAATCCATAATTCTTCCTAAGCATTAACATATCACAAAATATAAATACTGTGACACAGAAATAAATGACGCACCAACCAACAAGGAATCCAGGAAGCTACTAGCCTAGCAGATGGCCATGCTGAGTACCACACTGTACTTGTGTTATACAGTTGAGCAAAAATCCTTTAAATCCAATAGCAAGACCATGGGCTTAGACTCTTACAACAGTCCACCAAATTTAAAATATTAAACACAAAACAATCTACCATATATACCACTAAAAAAGCTGCCAATCAAACTATGATAAATAAGTTCTTGTGTCAATCACGTTCAAATATAAGACATGCATCTCAGAAACAGTTACCCACATCATCACCTTCAGGCCACAGATGTAGACACAGAGCATTCACACCAATTACCTACATACAGCGCTGCAGCTGTAAGTGGCAAGACACACAGGCCTTCACTTCAAAAGGAAAAAAACCACCTCATTTCCAGGTGATAAATTTCAGGGACATTATCCAAATGAGGTTGAAAGCCACGAATGGCACGTTAGGAAGCAGAGACAAAGAAGGAGGAAGTGCATGAGGGGCAGAGGACAAGGGCTGGGAAGCTAATAACATTTAGAAGAACTACATTTTCTGTAGGATGGACATATCAGTGGGCTGTGAGAGGACATTTCACAGTGTGATCCTAGACAGCAACAATTTCAGCAAATCCAGCAAGAGCGCACAGGATAGAAAGCAAACAAAACCAGGCAACTTGTGCAATCAATCAGACAAGGATAATGGGGTCTGAACTAGGACGGGAGCCATGGGAATAGCAGGAAATTAAGATGGTGATGACAGGCCACGTTTGCAGCTGTGAATATAGTGCCACTAAACCAAATACAAATACAGAAGAAATCAGACATGATATATTTCAAATAGAGGGAAACCTGCAGAGGTGAAGAGTGGGCAATCACAAACAAGCGAAGAGGAGAACCAAACAAGGCCTTAATTCAATTTGGATCTTCTGGTAATAGCTGAAGCTATCAGACTATGGAGATCAGTAGAATTAGATTAATGAGATCTAAAATTAGAGAGAGAAGATAAAAGGCAAAGGCCAACAGCAGCTTTGTAAGGAATCCTTAATTTGGAGAAAAAAGTGAAAGGAAAAAAAACTGTCAGAGCGTAAAAGTGGCATCCACAGAAGACAGTAACAAACAATATATAAGCATTACACAAATCACAGGAAGAGTCTCAGGGAGGAAGATAATCCTGCTACCCCACCCCGTCACATCCCAGAACCATCTCTGCTCTCTCTGTTTCTCAAGGAGGTTTTAACACACCACCTGCTTTTATAAACAGTCCTCAGGAAGGTCTGGTGGCAGCTGCCTGTAATCCCAGCATTTAGGAGGTAGAGGGAGGGCAGTCAGGAATTCAAGGATGTCTTCAGCTACACAGGACACTGGAGGCTATCCTGAGCTACGTGAAACCCTGACAAAGGGAGGGGGGAAGGCAAACTACATAAACTAAAAGCCGCTCTCTATCTGTGCTCAGTGAGTTAAGATCACTTAGAGAAAGAGATAGGGCTATATAGTCCAAATATTAGAAAACCTAGGCCTTGTGAAAACACTTTGTGCATGGAGGACCTACTGACAGACAGGTCATATGTAACCCCCGACAAGGCGCCAGTCATCTGGCTCATGTTCACTAGTTGGTGGTCTTTTATTTCCTTGCTTCCCAGTTCTTACTCTATGCCCTAGCAATGTCATCACTTGTACTCAGCAGAGTGCACCTGCTGTGGAATATCTGTTTAACTGGGCAACAATCGGTTACATTTGTTAATGCTGTATTTGTTCAACAATGTAAAGATGTGTTGCTTTGCTACCTAAGGCACCTGACTGGCCTAATAAAAAGCAGAGCAGTCAATAGCTAGGCCATAGAGGGATATAGGTGGGGCTGGCAAGCAGAAAGAATGTAAGAAGGAGGAGGAATCTAGGCTTGAGAAGAGACAGGATGAGAAGGGGGAAAGAGGGAGACGCCTGGGGCCAGTCAGTCAGGCAGCAGCCAGCAGGCAGCAGTCAGCAGCCAGCAGCCAGACGTGGAGTAGGACTTACAAAATGAAAGAAAGGTAAAAAGCCCTGAGGCAAAACACAGATGCAGAAAAAACGGTTAAACTAAGTTATAAGAGCTAGTGGGATAAGTATAAACTAAGGCCAAGCATTCATAACTAACAATGAGTCTTCGTGTCATGATTTGGGAGCTGGATGGTGGCCTAAAAAGTAAGTCCACTACATATGTCAAGAGTCCTGGTTCTGCACTGTGTTCCTCTGAAAGACCGTTCCCCCAGTTCCACTTAACTGATCATTTCTCAGTTTTCCAAAACAACTTGGGCTATCACCTCTCCTTGAATATATAGTGCCTACTTCCCTAACAGACTTAATTCTTTATTGTGTAACTAACAAATACTTAGTAAATGAAGATGCCTAAAGGACACAGAGATTAGCAAGAATAACACGAAATAGCTATCTCAGAGACGAGAATAGGGAGAAAAGGTGAAGCAGAAGAAGTTGATACCAATCTATAAGAAACCACAGAGGCCTATAAGGGCATGGCAACAAAAAAAAACCATAGGACCACAAAGGTAACAGGGACAGGAGTCTCCCTGGCGTTTCTAAGGTGTGCTGATGTCCACATGCAGCAGAAAATCTAATTATCAGCTAATGAAGAGAAAGAAGAATGAGGCCCCATTAAGTGAAGTATCAACAACTAAAAGGTGTGCTTCTAAAAAGGAACAGCTCATGTTACAAAATATTTACATTACTTCCCACCAAACACTTGAAGAAATCCAGGCTTGCAGAGGACACAACACCAAGCTGCCACTTTAAAGAGGGGGAAATAAAGCGTTTTCTATTTCCATCCATTTGCATGCAAAATTCAAGATGTCATTGTTCTTAACCGCTGAGTAAAACTCTAATGTATATATGTTCCACACCTTCTTTAACCATTCTTCTATTGAAGGGCACCTAGGTTGTTTCCAGGTTCTGGCTATTACAAATAGTGCAGCTATGAACATAGTTGAACAAATACTTTTGTGGTATGATAGGGCATCTCTTGGGTATATTCCCAAGAGTGGAATTGCTGGGTCCTGAAGGAGGTTGACTCCCAGTTTCCTGAGAAACCGCCACACTGATTTCCACAGTGGCTGCACAAGTTTGCATTCCCACCAACAATGGATGAGTGTTCCGCTCATTCCACATCCTCTCCAGCATAGGCTATCATTGGTGTTTTTGACTTTAGCTATTCTGACAGGTGTAAGATGGTATCTCAAAGTGGTTTTGATTTGCATTTCCCTGATCGTTAAGGAGGTTGAGCATGACCTTAAGTGTCTTCTGGCCATTCGAAGTTCATCTGTTGTGAATTCTCTGTTCAGATCAGTACCCTATTTTTTAATTGGGTTAATTAGAGTTTTAGTGTTTAGTTTCTTGAGTTCTTTGTATATTTTGGAGATCAGACCTTTGTCTGATGAGGGGTTGGTGAAGATCTTCTCCCAGTCAGAAGGCAGCCTTTTTGTCTTAGGTTCAATGCCCAAACCTACATGATAGCTCACAACTATCAGTAACTGCAGGTGCAGAGGATCCAATGCCCTCTTCTGACATAAGCAGGCACCACGCAAGCAAATGGTGCACAGACATACCTGTAGACAAAATACCCCTACACATAAATGTAGCTCAGATAATAAAAACCCAGAGACAGATATTAGGAGTCAAGCAGAAATATCAGAGAAGCAAAGCAACCAACCACTAGAGAGCTCTTACCTCTACAAAAGCTTCAGACTGAAGAATGAGTTCTATCTCAACTCGCTTTATATTCCTTTCTAGTGGTGATATTAAAGGTGTGCATCATCACTGCCTGGCCTCTTTGGCTAACTGGTGTGGCTGCTGGGATTAAAGGTGTGTGTCACCACTGCCTGCCCTGTATGGCTTTACAGTGGCTAGCTTTACACTCTGATCTTCAGGCAAACTTTATTTGTTAGATCCCGAACAAAATATCACCACATTTCCCCTTTTTTGTCTAATTAAAAAAAAAAGGTTATAAGTAATATAAGAAAAAGTGTGTAAGGTTGAGAGATATCAAAAGATAGTTTGGGATGGTAATGCAAGTTATGATAGAAAATATATTAGATACTTACCAAGATAGTATAGGATAATGGAGTATTTTCTCTGGATTTGTCAAATGCAAATGAACTAGACATTGTTAATATACTTATTGCCTATATATATTGAATATAGTTATTGTACTTATTATATATAGTTTTTCTTATATTAGTTGTAATCTTTTTTATTTTAAACAAAAAGGGGGAAATATAGTGATGTTTTATTTGTGTATTAATAAACACAAATAAGCTTGAACCCTAAAAAAAAATAATAAATAAAGAGGGGGAAATAAAGGAAAATGAGTACCTAAGAAAAAGAAATGCCAGAAAATTCTATATGATGGGGTAAGTTCCTGCTATAAAAATGAAAAGAGATATGCCTTCTGAGTTACCAAAAAATCTCCTTAAAAGACTGCTAGTTCCCCACCCCAGCCCCAACTCCAGTCCTTTATCTATGCCGCTGCTGCCGCTACCAACCCAACCAAGATGGTGACACCACACCTTAAGGATGAGAAAACTAAAAGCCCTTTCTAAACGGACTTTCCTGACTGGTGCTGCCATGAGACTTTCACATAAAATAAAAATCAATTTCTTACTTTTAAAACCTCATGTTATTGAGGTTGTCTGTCACAACTGAATCTGAAATAAATAAATTACAATAATTAAATAAAATACAATAATTAAAATAAAATGAGGGAGAAAGGGGATAATCCTAATGTGGGGATGGGAAAATTATTCAATTGTATTTGCAAAAATTACTGACCCCTAAATTCTGTTTGGTTCTTCAAGATGGGGTTTCACAACGAATCCTAGGCTGGCCTGGAATTCCCAATCCTCCTGACTCAGGCTTCCAAGTGCTTGGATTACAGGCATGTACCACACCTGGTACATTCTTGAGTTCTGCTGATAGAGCAATCCCATTCTAATGCACTGCTTGTTCAAAAGTACTGCTGTGGGTTAGGAAAAGACACGGGTGCCAGACTTCCACTGCTGTGAAAAGACCACAGTACTTTTGAAGTTTATTGTTTCGTGTGTGTGTGTGTGTGTGTGTGTGTGTGTGTGTGTTTGTGCTTGAGTGTGCTTATGTGTGTATGGTATTTGCATGAGTGTGGTGTGTGTGTGTCAATGTGCTTGTGTGTGCTTATGCATGTGTGGTGTGTGCATGACTGTGGTGTGTGTGTGTCAGTGTGCTTGTGTGTGCTTATGTGGGGGAGGGGTCGTGTGCTCACACATGCTCAGGTGTAAAGAACTGCAGAGACCACAAGGGATATTGGATCCCCTAGAGTTAGAGTTACAGGCAGGTGTGGGGTGCCTGACATGGGTTTCTAGATAGAGGAGTAAGTGTTCTTAAGCCCTGAGCATCTCCAGCCCAGGATCAAAATAATTTTGAGAAAAGTAGGGGGTTTCTGGACATAGTGGAAGGAATTAATGAGCAATCAGAGGAGACACTAGTAGATTCAGAGAAGACCATGAAATAGATGGAATTGAGAATTTTGTTAAAAACATAATGGAGGAAGTCTAAAAGCTATGCCGACAGACTATACAAACAACCTTGGTTTTTCACAAAAAATAAAATAAAATAAAACACCAATTAAATAAATCATTTACTTAATAGGAGGCATATCTAGCCTTTCAGAAAGTATTTCCAAAAAAGTGTGCTTTCAAAATATAATCTCTACTCTTCCTTTATGATAGAATCAAAACTGTTGCATGTTATTGACTTCTATTCAAAGGAGACTGAAGAACAAATACAGAATTAAGTCCACTCTTGGTAAAGCGAACAGAATTAAGGGCACTTGGTTTTGGTTAACTGAAGGCCAACCACTGACTTCCAAAAACACTACTCACTATAACATATTCTAATGCAGATATGGAAATAACTAAACTCCACTACCTTAGCAGATCCTTGTCAAGTGAAGCGTTACTGATGGAAAATGGTATCAACAGAGTACACTTCCTTAGCAAGGCTAGTTGTTAGAAGGGTGGGTCAAAGTACAACCAAGCTACAGAACAGGCGAAAAGAAAGTGTAGTAAGGCAAAGGCAACACTGGACCAGCAGGTCATCGCAAACAGAACAGCAGCAAATCTAAGTTTCAGCAAAGTCTGTGGGCCAAAATTTGACGCTTTGCTATCACATAAGTTCAAGTGTGCCTAACAAATGCTCCTCTCCTAGTTCACAAGTACCCAGGTAGGGTAGGTGGGGCAGGGCGAGATCCAGTTCCTTCAGCAAGTGAAGCATCTGCCAAATTCAGTCCTAAATGTGATCCAAAAACGAAGTGAGACATCTGCAAACTACTGTTCTGGGCAAACCGACACGAGGTAACTTTCTTAAACCTAAGTGTAAGTACAGAAACATAAATAGGACAAGCTGCCAAACAGCAAACCTTAGCGATCCTCACAATTTCCAAGATCAAGCACAGAAATATTTTATTTCAAAGTCCTACCTTTACCCTAAAAGATTTCATAAGAAAATGACCAATAGCAATGCAAAAATCCCTAAGAGGCATAAAGCAAGAAGTTATTATTTATTGCAAAAGCATGTAGGGATGCTGACCGAAATTACCCACAGGTCACCTGCTAACTATGGAATAGCTGAATGCATTGAAAGAGTCATAAATTGTCATCTGCTACCCTGGCACAGGCCCCTCAAGCATGTGTGTGTGTGACAAGAATTTCATATACTACAGCTACAATACTGTTTTAGGACTTAACATGTCACCTTTATAAGATGAACAACACAGCAGTTAGCAAGGAGTACCTTCACATCAAAGCCAAGTTAAGAATATCACACACACATTTTGCTTCTGCCTAACAGGGTCGTTCGTGTCTATTCTGTTTCTAAAGTACTAGAAAGGTCTGAACATCATGATTAAGATGATCTGGCAACTGACCCTAGTGTTCTATTTCAGTTTGACACTGACATATGAGTGAGGATAGAGAAGGGAGCCAGACTCCACACACACTCACCCAGGTAACCCCTCTCCACTCATCCCCTTAACATCCTCAGCACAGCTTACTGCTGGTGAGAGAGAACATGAAGGCGACCAGAGCTACACAGGGGTAGCTGAGACATATACTGCCTATTGGCAAAGCAAAACAAAATCTGCTACCATTGCAAGCAGATGATCATAGGGTGAAGGCAAGAAAAAGCTAATCTAAACAATGAGAGGGTAGATTTGGAGTTCAGGAGCTAAAGCAATATCCCTTAGGCTCTTAATTCAAACAAACAGTGATACTGGCAAGACTTGGAGGTAGGGCTGTGGAATATAACCCCACCAAACCATAGCCTACACGTTCAAACTGGCTTTACCTTGACTAATCTCAAGTCTAAGAAAAACCATAGATAGGTTATCCACGAAAACATTCTCACACATATTTTCTCTTGGCCAAAATCTGCTCTTCCTTCACCTCAGTTGAACCCGGATCCCAAACCTAAGTCTGCAGGGTGAAAGAAACAGCTAAGAACGTGGGACCTCTGGCAGGAGGGCCCCAGACCACAAGCCACTTGCCCTCCCTGAGCCTCCAGAACCTCGACGAAGTCTAAGACACCGTGCGGTCTAACACCTAAGAGCCACAGCAGCCACGTCCTACATCAGGCATTCTGCAGAATGCACCGATCATTCTTACACTTAAACAAAACTGGCAAACTCGAGTGTGCTGCTCTCAAAACTCAGTATGTCAACTAGCTGCTGCTCCACAAGAGGGTAAAACGGAGAAAAGGAAGAAAAGAAAAAGAAAAAAAAAACCCTCCGCGGCTCTGGCGAAACTCAGCGCACTCCAAGAGTTTGTTTCCGCGTGCTTCGGGGACTCTCGGGTGGCTGCGGTTACGCGAAACGAAAGCGCTCTGGATGGCTTCAGGGCCTCCGCCGGGCCACCCGGTCCTTCCGATTTCAGGACAGTGCGGAAGGGAGCGGGCAGGGCGCTGGGAACTGAATCGAGCGCCGGGGCAGGGGGGCGGGGGGGCGGGCCGCGCGGCCCGGGCCTGCGCCCCAGCCGCCAAAGTCACCTGTGAAGGAGTCGGGATAGATGGACTCCAGAGCCTCCAACTCGTTGCGTTGCTCCTCGCCGTAATCTGTCATCGTGGCCCGCGCTGCCGCCCGTGCATCAGCGCGACACCCCGAAGGCACGCTGCGCGGACACGGCGGCCGCCGGCTGCCGGGCGGGCGCACGCGCAGAGTCCGGATAGAAAGGCCTGGCCCCACGCCTGGCCCGGTCTGCAGCGAAACAGCCCGTCTCGGCGGGCCGCCCGATGCCTCGGTCGGAGTTCGACTCGTCGTGCCTGGAATGCGAGCCGCTGATTCGTTGCCCGCCCACGGCCGCTCGGGATTGGCTGGAGCGTGACGGCAGCCGGTCGGGCGTTCGGGAAGACTAGCCAGGGCCTGCGGCTGGGCTCTGCGGGCTTCGGCTGGAGACGCCGGGCGGAGTGGCATCCGCGTTCTGCGCTCGATATGTCTGGGCTGAAAGTCTGGGTCTCCCGTAGGGGGCGGTGGCGTCGCCGAGGGCGGGGCGCGAAAGTCCGCCTGCTTCCGCCTTTCCAGGTTCCCGGCCCAGCCTGGGGGCCTGAGCATCTTGGAGATCGGTGCTGGCCGGGTTCTGGGGTCACTTAAGGCCTAGATCAGGGCAGACTCTTGCAAATTGAACTGGGGAGGTCTGGGGATTGCCGCTGGATGGATTCTGGGGTCGCTCGGGGCGAGCTAGGAAGTCTGGGAATCGCTGCTGTCTTGTGGGGTAACTCGGAGCGATCTGCGAATTCTGGAGATCGCTGCTGCCTGGGTTCTGGGGTCACTTACGGGTTAGATCAGGGCAGACTCTTGTAAGCCGAGCTGGGTGGTCTGGGGATCACTGCTGTCTGAATTATGAGGTCACTGGGTTCTAAGGATCGCTGGCCTGATTCTCAGGGCTCGAACAGGGCGAACTCTTGTAAACCGAGCTCAGACGTCTAGGAATCGCTGCTGGCTTAATTCTGGCGTCTCTCGGGGCTTGCTGAGAAGTCTGGGGACCACCGCTGCCCTGGTTCTGGGTCACTCAAGGATTAGAACAGGGCGGACTCTTTTAAACCGAGCTGGGAGGTCTGAGGACCCGCAGGGCGCTTACCGGGTCTGTCCAGGCTGCTGCGGAAGCTGTGAATCCCGGGCCGAATCGGGAGGCTAGACGTCGAGTCAGTGGTTCAGATCTTGGGCTCCGCGTTAAAGTTGTGAAATAAACGAGGCGGAAAATTGGCCTCAAGATGTTTAAAGTTGTGTTTCAGCGAACATATGAAGGTTATGGGGTTTAGGAACAGTTTTGACATTGTAAAAATTGCAGTAAAATACTGAGAAAAGTACCCAACCTTTGATTTAGTTCCCCTTCTGCTAATAGACTTTTCAGCTTCAAGTTAATCACAACAATCAAAATGTCAATAACCGTAACTGCTAAAACCAAAAAAACAGTTAAATCCACTTTTGTGAAATGAGCATTAAACAGTTAGTTGGGTTTATATTTGTTTATCATGAAGGAGCATATTTGTTTATCATGAAGGAGCACGTGTTAACTTAAACAAAATGTGGGGGAAATAACCCGACATACTAATAATATTTCCCCAAAATTCTCTTTCTTTCTTGTGTGTTAAAGCTCACTTGTATAGTTTTCTTTTGCTAAATTATAATGGTTCCCTAGATGAGTATTTTAGATTTTCTAGGTTTTGACTGGTTGCTGTTATTACTTGGATGGCTCTTGCAGTCTAGCCTAAGCTGGAATTCATGCGACCCCTACTCTGGCCTCAGTAGTGCTGTGATTGTAGGTGTAAGCCACAGTGCTGCACTTACACATCCAATTTTGTTGTGCTTTGTTTTTTTATTGCCACGTGTTGCTTACTTACAACAGAGGAATACATTATATCAAATATATTCAAGCACACTTTTGTTCTAACTTCTTGTTTTAAATATATCAGGTGTTGATTTTTTTTTTCTTTTTGTGTTTTAAACTTTAAAGGAGAGAGAAGGAATCAACTCCTGAGATACTTAGTATCAGGGTCCACGAAGTAACATTTCAAATATAAGCAACTTTTTTGTTTACTCAAAGGAAGTCCAATGTTTTGTTACAAGGATGGACTATCTAGAGCAGCTGCTTTACAATTTTTTGTTTTGTTTTCAAGATAGTGTTTCTCTGCAACCCTGGTTATCCTAGAACTCTCTCTGTAGACCAGGATGGCTTTGAACTCAGAGGTTTGCCTAGGGTGTGTGCCACTGCTGCTGGGCTGCTTCACGGTTCTTAGGGAAACACTTGGCAGGTTGGAAGTCAGTAAGGAGCATGCTCAGTGATCTGTACCTGGATTGTGGAGAGTTCTTGAAGTGTTGGGAAAGCGGCTCAGAGTTAGTGTTTGAGACATGCCAAATAGGACACATCTGAACGTAGAGAGTTAGGTTGCTATAGTAATAAATTAAGTAAGCCTGTGCTGATTTGTACAGACATAGGATCAAGTTCTAGGTATATTTTGAAAATAGAAGTGTCAGGATTTGATGCTGGTGAGTAAGGGCAGAATCAAGGTAACTTCTGGTTAGACTAACTTGGATGATGAAGTTCTGATGATCAAAAATGGCACGTGACAAAGACAACATATGTTTGACAAAGATGATGACACATACATTTCAATGACCCACGAATCAGAGGACAAAGCAAACATAAATCCTAAAAGCATAACAATGAAAAAAATCAGCCAAAATAGGTGAGGTACAACAACCAACATTAGAGTTACAGGATGGCTGGATTTGCACATTTCCATCTAGTAAGTGAAATACCGCTCGATTTAATCACCACTTTATTAAGTGAAATTTTGCTACATCCCTAACATGTCTACCCGACTCAGAGACACACAAAAGTCTAATCCTCACCCCTCATTGAAGAAGCTGCTTTTCAAAGCAGACTAAGAAACCACATTAATGAACAGGCAGAGAACAACTGAATGTTCTCTTGAACACAGTGTGTCCGTCCACCTAAGGCTCAGGACACATAGAAGTGTGGGGGCTGGAGGAATTGTAAGAGCCAGAGGACCAGGAAGTCTGCAGATTGCTTTCTAAATATGACAAGTAGCTATGCCCATGAAATATCATAAATAGGATAGCTTGAACAAGACCTGAAAAATGGCAACATCAATTGACAGGCCAACATGGAAGGGGAAATACATAGGGCCTCACCACTTGATGAAGAGCCACAGACAATTACCAGCTCCTGAGAGAATTAGTCTTCCCCATAGATGGCACCCTAAATAGTTATCCAATCTCAAGTGGTTAGCAACACTAAATGTAGTCAGAAGAGTATGTTTTTATATATGTTCCCATACTGTAGGAGGAGGGCCCGAGACCACTTGTTTGTCCCAACCACCCAAAACTTAAATAACCACACAGAAACTGTATTAATTAAAACAATTAAATAAAATTAATGCTTGACCCATTAGCTCTAGTTTCTTATTGGCTAACTCTTATATTAATTTAGCCCATTTCTGTTAATTTTTACATCGCCACGTAGCAGTGGCTTACTGGTAAAGATTCTACCGGGCATCTGTCTCGGGTAGAGGATCCATGGCTTCTCTCTGACTCCACCCTTCTTTCTCCCAGCATGCCATTTAGTTTTCCCTGCCTTCTTAAGTTCTGTCCTATCAACAGACCAATGCAGTTTCTTTATTCATTAACCAAAAAAAAGCAACACACAGATAGATGGACCTCCCACACCACCATACATACGTAGCAATAAAGAATAAGAGGTCATTGGTTTGAAAGAGGGAGTGTAAAGGGTTGGAGGGGGGAAATGATAAAATATAAATTCATTTTAATAAATAAAATTTTAAGAACTATAATTGTCAAAAATAAAAGGAATTTTGGATAAACTTCTCATCCTTGTTATATGTTAGTAAACTAAATTTTCCATGAATGCTTTTGTGTGTGCGTGTGTGTGTCTGTATGTTTTGCTGGAGATCAAACCCAGGGATTTGCATAGATCTTGCAACTGCACTACCACTGAGTTGCATCCTCAGTCCTCGAGTATAACAATGACTTAGGAGAGTTCTAGGGCTGCTGTTATGAAGAAACATGCAACTCTTGCTTTGTCATATATGAGTGAGGATTATTAAGCATGTTCAGTTGATCTCCTGATTTTATTCTGCAGTTAATTCTCTTGTATAATGGGAAGTCCATAACTAGAATCATAAAAATTCCCAAAGGGAAAATTATCTTTAGTATTTCTGTTTTTAACTTGCAATTAATGATGTTAGGAACAGGCCTATTTCAGGCTCTGCCAGGCAGCACACAATGTAATGAAAGTGGTCATCATGATTCAGGGGCCAGATTAAGAAACCTCTGCTTAGTCATTTACACCTATATAAACTTGTAAGATTGCAGAAAGTCTGTGAATTACTACGTATTAAAGTATGCTGCAAACTAAAAAATACAATACCAGCTTTACTAATGATTTTTAAAAAATATAATATTACCAGAAACAGCAAAAATAAGGGGCCTGAGATGAGGTGTTAAATGAGAGGACCAGGACTAAGACGTGAAGATGAAAAAGGAGACAAAAACAATAGTTGGGATCAGGAACTGATGATTTATGAAAAAGAATAGTGTTTCTATTGGTGGCCTTGTTACGCGCCTAACAGCCAAATGTTAATATTGTTTGATTTTTTTCTTTTGTTGAAAATGAATATTTTTCTCACACAACATATCCTAATTAATTTCCCCTCTTTCTATGCTCAGCTTGTCCCTCACTCTCCTCCCGTCCAGATCTTCCCCCTATCTGTCTCCCTTTAGAAAACAGTCTTCTAAGGAAATATAAAATAAATAATATAATTTATATAATGTAATATAAAAATAAAATAAAACTCAGCCCATCAGAATAAGACAAAACAGTGTGGGGGAGGCGCCCAATGAAAAGCACAAGAAACAGATATAGATGCAGAGACTCCACTGGTTCACACACTCAAGAATCCCATAATAAATTTAAAAAGACCCCACTAAACTATAAGCCATAATATGTTGGCAAAGGATCTGTAGACTTAAAAAGAGATGAGAAAAATTACATATAAATAAGATAAATTTAAAAACAAATGAAAAGGCCCTGACATGATATGAGACAAGGAACTTACCTTCGAAGATGTCGTTGAATTCATTTTCTATTGGACAGTTTATTTTCCCAGAGAGACTCCCTTGGCGAAAGTTAATTTTCATTTGCAAGTGGTAATCAGTTGGAGAATGCTTGTGAGTTAGGAATGGAGGTATG